TTTCAAGATGGGAAAGAATGCCTGTATCTCTGCTACATGAACTGCATTGGGTGCCAGTTTGCTTCCAAGTCCAATTCGTGGTGTTGGTTATTGCTTTTAAACTCTTTAATGGCTTTGGACGAGGTTATCTGAGGAAGTGTCCTGTCCCGATTTCATTGACCCGTCCCTGGTTAAGCACCAAGGGTATATTGCAGACTCCACTGGTTTAAGAATTTCAATTAGCAGGTTCTAGAAAGTCATCTCTGCTAATACCATCAGAATGGGGGTGGGGGGGCATTTTGCTCCCAGAGTTGAGGCAAGCCCCCACTCTTCTGGCCTTCCAGAAGAGAGTTGAGACCTAGCTGGGGGGTGTTATAAGAATGACATGAAACCCTGGAGATGATTGGTGGCTTCGGAACACCTTCCACCTTTTTTAATGTAATGTTTAACACTTTTTAACTATTTTAATATTGTTTTTAACTACACTGCTCAAAAAAATAAAGGGAACACTTAAACAACACAATGTAACTCCAAGTCAATCACACTTCTGTGAAATCAAACTGACCACTTAGGTAGCAACACTGATTGACAATCAATTTCACATGCTGTTGTGCAAATGGAATAGACAACAGGTGGAAAGCATAGGCAGTTAGCAAGACATCCCCAATAAAGGAGTGGTTCTGCAGGTGGTGACCACAGACCACTTCTCAGTTCCTGTGCTTTCCAATGGCTGATGGTTTGGTCACTTTTGAATGCTGGCGGTGCTTTCACTCTACTGGTAGCATGAGACAGAGTCTACAACCCACACAAGTGGCTCAGGTAGTGCAGCTCATCCAGGATGGCACATCAATGTGAGCTGTGGCAAGAAGGTTTGCTGTGTCTGTCAGCGTAGTGTCCAGAGCATGGAGGCGCTACCAGGAGACAGGCCAGTACATCAGGAGACGTGGAGGAGGCCATTGGAGGACAACAACCCAGCATCAGGACCGCTACCTCCGCCTTTGTGCAAGGAGGGACAGGAGGAGCACTGCCAGAGCCCTGCAAAATGACCTCCAGCGGGCCAAAAATGTGCATGTGGCTGCTCAAACGGTCAGAAACAGACTCCATGAGGGTGATATGAGGGCCCGATGTCCACAGGTGGGGGTTGTGCTTACAGCCCAACACCATACAGGACGTTTGGCATTTGCCAGAGAACACCAAGATTGGCATATTCGCCACTGGAGCCCTGTGCTCTTCACAGATGAAAGCAGGTTCACACTGAGCACATGTGACAGACATGACACGGTCTGGAGACACCATGGAGAATGTTCTGCTGCCTGCAACATTCTCCAGCAGTGGGTCGGTAATGGTGTGGGGTGGCATTTCTTTAGGGGGCCGCACAGCCCTTCATGTGCTCGCCAAAGGTAGCCTGACTGCCATTAGGTACCCAGATGAGATCCTCAGACCCCTTGTGAGACCATATGCTGATGCGGTTGGCCCTGGGTTCCTCCTAATGCAAGACAATGCTAGACCTCATGTGGCTGGAGTGTGTCAGCAGTTCCTGCAAGACAAAGGCATTGATGCTATGGACTGGCCCACCCGTTCCCCAAACCTGAATCCAATTGAGCACAACTGGGACATCATGTCTCGCTCCATCCACCAATGCCACGTTGCACCAGAGACTGTCCAGGAGTTGGGGAATGCTTTAGTCCAGGTGTAGGAGGAGATCCCTCAGGAGACCATCCGCCACCTCATTAGGAGCATGCCCAGGCATGTAGGGAGATCATACAGGCACATGGAGGCCACACACACTACTGAGCCTCATTTTGACGTGTTTTAAGGACATTACATCAACGTTGGATCAGCCTGTAGTGTTTTTTTCCACTTTAATTTTGAGTGTAACTCCAAATCCAGACCTCCATGGGTTGCTAAATTTGATTTCCATTGATAATTTTTGTGTGATTTTGTTGTCAGCATATTCAACTATGTAATGAACAAAGTATTTAATAAAAATATTTCATTCATTCAGATCTAGGATGTCTTATTTTTGTGTTCCCTTTATTTTTTTGAGCAGTGTATATCTCTTTTCAAATCATTCAAAGTCACTTAGCTGACATGAATGGAGTAGAAATTTGATAAATAAATAAAATTATATAACAACTGTTTTATGGTTGCAGCATTGTTTCCAACTTCAGTTCCAAGTGCTTATTTTAATCTAAAATATGCCTTGGTCCCTAGGTACCTGTAAAGAACTTTTGCCTAGTAAGTACACCCCATCGAAAACTGTTGGTGATCCACGAAGCCTAAGGACGCACTCCTTGAAATGGCCTTCTCAGACTAGCTGATGGTCTTCTAGAAATTCCTTAAGAACTTTGTAGCACTTGAAGAACAAGTTTGTCATAGGTACAGTTATTTCCATTGTTTGTTTTTATGTCTAATTTTTAGAAACTTTTTTGCTCTGCTGATGTTTTATATATGCATGTATGTATTAGAATTTACAATACAATAAAACTATAAAAAATGAAAAGAAAAAGAAAAATGAAGTGAACAAAAAAGAAATGAAACAGGATTTTTACTGCTGCTCTTCTTTCTATGAAGTAATTGCCACTTTACGCTTTCCCTTCCCTCTTTAACCTTTACTAAGCCCCTACATCATAAATCTTCAGTTCTGTATTTTCTTCTTTCAGCAAAAAGTCCATATAAGGCTTCCAAATTTTTAAAAAAACCGAATTGGTTTTTCCCTGACCCAACTGGGCAGCTTTGCCATTACCGCAAGTTTTGTTAGTTTATGATCCAACTTTCTACAGGTATCTCATTATTTTTTCATCTTTGTACATACAGTAATCTTGTCTTACTATATATGCTAGTTTCCCATATTTTTGTCTAGTTCAGCCTCAGTAAAGTCTAATAAAAATAATTCTGCCTTCATTATAATATTAATCCGTACTACCTTTTGCATTATTGTTATGAATTTGTGCCTAAAATTGCTTTGATTTCTGACAAACCCACTATATGTGGGGGAAAGTCCCATCTTTGTTTTCATTTACAACACTTTCTATTCCTGTGTATGATTTTCTCCTGGACTTGCTGGAAATTATGGCAATATAAAAATATGAACCATAAATCAATCAATAAATGTTCCCATTCACCAGCCAAAATTTTTAAGGCTTGAGAGTTCCAAGTTCACAACAGTGTATCCTGCGATTATGTTCCACTTTATCCAGTTCTTTCCAAAGAATAAGGCAGCCTTGTTTTCAAAACTCTCCATAACACTGTAAAAGTAGACATACTGATTTACTTGTGAACGTTGGTCTTCTGTTTTAAATATTTATTTTTATTAACAGGGACTGTGAGTTTTGCTCTTGCATTTTACACTGCTTTTCTGATTTTCCCAGTTTATATATTTTTTTCTAGATTAGTTATTAGGTTTATATAAGTCACCCAGAGGATTTTATTTTATGAAAATACCTATTTCTATAAACTGCAAATACTTTTCTGCTAAATCATACAGTTCACAACAAGCAACCATATCACTGAACAACACAAGATTGGAAAAATCACCTTTGAGTTGTTTTAATATCATATTTATGGCTTTGTCATAGTCAAACACTGAGGCAAACCAGGAGTAGGGTAGAAAAGGGGAATAAATCAGGTAATAAAACCGCTTTCCAGATCAGTACTATACTTTCCCAATACTAACTTCCAGACCTTTGTTGGATTTTTTAACAATTGCTAAGAAACTGTTAAATTACACAATATCCACAATCTATTCAGATTGTCTATGGAGATTCTCAGTCATCCAGGTCACGGTTGTCCAAAGGTGCTTTTCAAGAGGCAACTGGATTTTCTGGTTTTTCTTCTCATCCAAGAAGCTAAAGAATACTGAAGAAGTTTCTTGGATGAGAAGCAAAACATCTTCAAAGAAAAACCAGAAAGTCCAGTTGCCTCTTGAAAAAGCACTTTTGGGATGTTCAGGAGATTGCACATTACATTAACTCCTGCATAGAGCTGGATATCAATACCTGGGGACCAAAAATCCAGTTGACCTCTAGATGCATAAATGTCTCAGTGTAGTTGCTGTTTAGATTTTTGCAGCCTTGAAACCTTCGTTTAACAACTCTTGCATTATTGTGTCATCCTTAATTTGAATTTAAAGTCCCTTCCACTACAATGTGTAAAATTGATTTCATTGTTGGGATGTATCTTCCACAGCAATGAATTTCTTAATTATTGCATCTGAACTATAGGGAAAAATACATACTCTTTTATTCTGTACCAGCCATGTGTACGTATCATGAGGAAGCCTCAGGCAGGATTAGAAGAGAAAGGCAAATTTATAGCACAATATATCTCCAAAGCACCTGAAGGCAAAACAAGAAGCAATGGATGGAAACTAATCAAGGAGAGAAGCAACCTAGAACTAAGAAGAAATTTCTTGTCAGTTAGAACAATTAGTCAGTGGAACGAGTTTTCCTCATTAGTTGTGAATGTTCCAACACTGGAAGTTTTAAAGAAAAAATTGGATAACCATTTGTCTGAAATGGTACAGGAGTTTTCTGCATGAGCAAGGGGTGGGACTAGAAGACCTCCAAAGGTCCCTTCCAATTCCGTTATTCTGTATTCTTCTCCAACCAAAATGCTACTAGCTAATTCTAGCTACACATTTTTGCTACCCTTTGAATTGAAGAGCAAGAGACAAAAAAATGAATTCAACCCCTGAAAAAAATTGGGCGGGGAGAGAGAGAGAGAGAGAGAGACACCGAGACCAAAATGTTTATTCAGTAACCAATCGCTAATCAAATTTCCTCCCCGCCTAATTCTTTTATAACCAACCACACGGAGCGCGACGAACGGCGAAGAAAGACCTCCCCAGCTCCATGCCACAGAGGCTTCTGGGAATTGGAGTTTCAGTCTTTCCAAGACGTTCCACCGCGAACGTTTCCCCGCGGCTTAGCGAGAGAACTACAACTCCCGAGAGCTCTCGGTTGACCTGCGCCGCCGAATTGTTTCCCCCCCACCCTCCTCTCGCTCTGTCTCTCGCGCTTGCGCTGTGCAAAAGCTTGCAAGAAGGCGAGAAGGAAGAGGCAGGGTTTGGCGGCAGGAGCTGCAGGAGCGGAAGGGCCGGGAAGCGGCCGTTCACAAGACGGTGGTCGGCCGTCGGGAAGATGAGCGCCACCAAGGAGTCCAAACCCGAGCACGGCCACGGCGTGAAGCGGCCGGCTTCCCCTGATGTGAATAAGGGCTGGGAGAAGTTGGGCGCTGCGAGGAGGGGAGTTGGAAGGCGTGGGGGTGGTCAGGGCAGGAGGGACTCTTGGGCCGGCGGGGGAAGAAAAAGGGGTTCCCCTTCCCATCATCCCGTCTGGGTAGAAGGAAGAGGTGATGGCAGGGATTCCTTGGGTCACTTTTCCCTCTTATGTAGGAGAATTTGTTCCCCCCTGCCATACATTGGCTGGTTCGGGGAGTACCTCTGGCTTCAACCCGCCCTTCTGGCAGGAGTGAAGGACTACAACTCCCATACTGGGCGAAAGGGAGGGACTACCGTTCCCATGCGGCGCGGGCAGTTGTCAAGCGATGCATGTGGGTGAGAGTGGGTTCAAGAAGGTGGCCCATGTCTTGCACATTTGTGCCCGAAGGGAAGCCTCGTTTCTGCCAGGGAAATTAAGAATTAAAGAGGTGGTGGTTTTTTTCCTGTTGATTGATTGAGATCCCCACCGCCACCCCTTTGGGCTTCTTAAGATAGTTTATTATCTATAATGATTAATCGGGGGATTGAAAAGCTCTTTGAGAATCAGGCTTTCAGGAGCAAGGCCTTGGCATGATGCAAACGGCCTCTTCCCCCAGTGGGAAATAAGACTTGGGAGGCATTAAATCTTTGGAAAGGCAGGGTAAAAATATTTGTCCTTAAGTAGTAGTCAAAACAATACTTTGATGCAGTGTACCCAAAATAGAAAGTGGAGGGGGGCATGGTGGAAATGCATATTCACTTGCCAGAATGGGCTAGTATTATGGAGGAGTTAAATATAGATTTTCAACAGAAAAATCTGAGATACAACATACAGAAGATTATTGCTATAGAATCCTATAGAAACGTGCTTTTCCAGACTTTGAGGAGCTTAGAAGTACCATCCCATTTTTTAGTTAATGTGATGGCTACAAGTAGGTTTTGGTATAAATGTGGATCTGGAATAAGCTTCCTGTGCTGGATCTTGGAGATCTATAACCAAGAATGGTTTTTTTCTTACCAGAGGCTGAATATGGTGCATGTTTGTACATTATGGGCAATGCTACACTATGATTTTTATTTTCAGAGTGCTTTCTAAGGCTACAGCATGCACTTTTGGAACGACTTTCAGCAGATAGGAACAAGATGTTTCTTCTTTTTGTAATGTCATATAGCAGCATTGTTGAAAGGGGAAGAGAATTGTTCCTGGCAAGGTTGAAAATAAGTGGCGTATTTCAATTAATTAAAACAGTGCTTTACATTTAATAATTTCATTGTTGGGTTTGTCTTTATTTCGATAGAAGAGAATATTGGTAGCTCAGAATATTGGGCTCTTGGTATTCTCTGGTTATTTTCTTACAGATGTTTCATTATCTGGCTAAGTGGCATTACTCCCCCTCACACTATTCCTCCACTTTTGTAAAAAGGAAATTATCCATCTCTTGCATTATTTCCATATTTTGTGTTTGGAACTATAATATGTATTAGCCATTGGAAGGTATCAGCAGGAAATTGTTGTCAAGTAGTACTACATAGCTTTTGTTGATTTGAGCTCTAATGCTACCTACTAGAAGTGTATTATCCAGGATTGAAATATATTCCTTGCAACCCATGACAGTATTTTTTTTAAAAAAACCTAGGGTTTATGGGAAGTAGATAGGCAAATATGGTGCAGCCATATGGAGCTTATTACATGTTTATAGCTGCAGTGAAAGTTATACTATAAATATACTATCTGTATGAACTAACTGGTTGATTTTTTTTCTTTTAATGTGTCTAAGAAGTATATTTTGTTTTTTAGCCTGGAGCTGGGAGCTGGGAGGCCGCCGACTTGGGTAATGAAGAAAGGAAACAAAAGTTCCTGAGGCTGATGGGTGCTGGAAAAGTAAGGTTTTAACTTTCATCCTAGCAGCATAATGATTATAGAAGGGATTTTTAGTGCACAACTTTCAAAGCAGATTTGCTTGGTTTTCTCTTTTTTTATAAGAATACAAGTTCTTAAAATATCACTATCTAATAAGTAAATTTTCAGAAGTATAAGTGAAATTTATTTCATAAATCTTTGTGTGTCAGAATCAAAATACCTGATGAAACAATTGTGGCAGAATGTAATGCTTTTTGCTTATGAATTAATGTTTACCTGTTTGGTGTTTTGTCTGATGTTTTGTGTAACTGTGTATGACCATGGAATCTTGCAATTATTTTTCTAAATGGAATTTTATTGCTATGTCTATCAACTTTATGTGAATTAACTTTTCAGATCAGGGCCACTACATCTTCTCAATAATACAATTTTCATTCATCCTGATGTCATTGTAAAATACTCATACTTCTAACAACACAAGTAGTCATCTATGAACCATAACCAGCTAGTACAACTTAATTTTTTAAAGAGCATTAAAAAGTACTACTCTGGAGCTTTTTATTTAAACAAGAAAATTGGTTTCTAATATATACAGTTAATATGTACATTTATTTTTTTCAGTGAATATGGTTGAATGGAAAAAGGTTGGAGATATTAACTAATTGTATGGTGAAGTGAATGAATCTTATTGCACCCATTCATTGTTACAATTCACAGAGTTTTAATGTAATACCTAGAACCTTGCTTACAATTCTATAGAATATTAGTAGTAGCACTAGTAAAAGCTCGTTTATGGAAGAAAACACACTTTCAGCATGAAATCGACATGTTCTCCTACTCTTGTTTCCCAGCAATTAATATTTAAAGTGTATCTTGAACCATGTTATCAGTATGACCTAGGACAAATGTTGTGGGTTTCTAGCCAAATCAACTAGAAAATAATACATTTCCAACTTTGCTTTGGTGTTAGTTATCCATGGAGATTCTCAATCATCCAGGTCATGGTTATTGCAAAGGTGCTTTTTCAAAAAAGGCAACTGGACTTTCTTCTTTTTTTTCCTTTGAAAACATTTTGCTTCTCATCCAAGGACCTTTGTCAGTTATAACTGACTGGTGGGGACTAGTTTTCCCACCAGTCAGTCAGAAACTATGTAAATAAAATTTCTTGGATGAGAAGTGAAACGTTTTCAAAGAAAAAAGTAGGAAAATTCACTTTCCTTTTTTAGAAAACCCTTTGGGTTCAGAGTTAATTGTTTTAATTGTTTTTCTTTTTAATTTTTGGTAAGGGTTGCTCATTTGAAATGAAAGTGGATGTAAATAATTTTCAAAAGGAATTTGTAGAAGTACAATGAAATGGATTTTCTTTAAAAAAAAACCTGAAGAATATTTGGCTTGTCTTTCAGTTTATTATCTTTGCTGCAAACAAAATGGTTTTTTGTTGTTCCTTTTAGCAGAATGATTTTAATTGATTATTCAATGTTTTATGCCATTCCCCAAATACAAACCCTGGAAATTGTGGTGCAAAATAAGAACATAAGTAGTTGCCCTGCTGGATTGGATCACTGGCCCGTTTAGTCTATCAGTCTCTAATGTTGGTTATCCAAGTGCATAAGAAAGTCCACTAGTCTCTCATCAGACAACCTTCAGAGACCATTACACTGCCATAATTTCCCCATAATTTCCATCAATTGGTCCAACTCTTTTTTGAAGCCAGCCAAACTGATAACAGCACCACATTTCAAGGTGGTCACAAAAATCTAAAGCTGAGTTGTGTAATTTGAGTATGATTTGGTTGGTTAATGGCATGTAAGTCTCTCTAGGGTTGCCTGATACTTATTTGAAACATAACATTTTTAATATTGTCAAATAATGCTTTGGGGAAAATGGTCTGCAACCTTGAAAGCCCATGCCATAATAAATCAGTCTTTAATAGAAAAATAGAATCATTGTGTGAGAATAATCTATGTTTTCTTCTAGAAAGAACACACTGGACGCCTTGTTATTGGAGATCATCGATCAACTTCTCATTTTAGAACAGGTCAGTTTAACCAAAGATTTGAAGGAGAATAAGTGTCCATATATTTAACACTTATGTTTTCTAGGAAACTTTACCTTTCTGATTGATTTACCCATATGCCATATAGATTTGATATTTCTCATGTTCAAAGCCATCTTTTTGGCCACTAACTGCTAGTGGCTCTCCACCATTCTTCTGAAGTGCTATGTTGCCCCCATGTGTAAGTAGTGCTATAAATAGTCTGTGACTATCATGGTGCTGTTTGTGCAAAAGGTATCAGAAAGTTCTGTTTATGGGTAGCGTTCTAGTTTTGTCCTCAAACAATATTATTTATTACTATTTCATTCAATACATTATTATCTTTCCCCCAAGTTAAAACAGTTAAAAACCTAGACAAAAGAGCCTCCACTAAAAACAGCCATTGTTGGCCCAAGAACCAAGAAAAACACAGAGTTATTTCTGAGCAGTTCCTGCGTTGATCCTCACCTGTAGACAGAAATTTCACTATTGATATATATGCCCTGGGAATAGCAAGGGAGGAGCCTTCTTAACTCTCTTCTTCCCAGGCAAACCTTTTATGCTTAATTGCTTTTTGCACTCTGGAATTCAGCTTCTCCCTGAGAATCCAGATTGCATTTCACCACACATTAAACCACAGCACATCAGATCCCTCACACACATACATTTAATCCCGGGCCTGGGACCAAAGCTCAGGTTTAAGGGCTTATTGAAACGCCAGGTGTGTGGAGATCATCCATATATCTGGGCGGATGCTGTTTCAGCATCCAGATAAATTATCTTCCTAGGTCCTACAAAATGGAAACATTTAATAGAACTGTTGTGTACCCATTCTGCACTGAGTGGACAGAAACAATGGGAGAGAAGTAACCCTGTGCCATTAGAATTGAACTCTTCTTGTGGGTTGGATAAAATCTAATGCTCCTTCTTTTTTGTTGAAATTCAGGATTTGTTATTTGACTGTATGGTAATCAACATATGTAACTCTATAGGGGAAGAAGATAAGAAAATGAATGATGAGCTGGAGACTCAGTTTCAACAGAGTATGGATAGCACCATGTCAGGAAGGAACCGGCGGCATTGTGGGCTTGGTTTCAGTGAGGTAATCTTCCTTTGGCTGAGACAGTGGCTCAAGAGTCTTTCTTTGCTGTATTTCACTCTGTACAGTACATGTATTATGTAATTCACTTTGAATTGGCTAGTGGTTAAATGGGACAGACTTTCACAAATCTCATTCTTTGTCACATTACATAGATAGCAAATATCATCCCTCATAGCCAACATGGCTTTCCACCCGCAGATAGTAATATTAGGCTTCTTTTGCTATAACTTAAAAAGAATACTGCACTAGTAAGTGGTTAAAGTTAAATACCTGTGATTAAGTTTCTATTACCATCCACAATATATCAACCAGGCTCCTATTTCTGTATGTATTGATTATGGAAACAACCCACAAAAGAAAGGCACCTGAAAAGCAAAACAAGCTCATAGAATTTTTTTTTTCTCTCCATCCAAATCTTTTCTTTAGTTGGAGGAGGATAAAGAAGAAGCACCAGAGGAGACGCAAGATTCCTCGGGGTCAGAAAGTTCAGAAGACTCCGAAAGTGATTCTGACTCTGAGCAAGACGAAGTTGCCGAAGACCCACCGTCGGCTGAAAAAAACAGCAACTCCGAGGACCCGCAAGCCAAGAAAGATGCAAAAAGCAGCTATAAAATGATGTTTGTTAAATCCAGCGGCACTTAGCTGCCGAGTGTAGGCAGAGTAAGCCTTCTGGTTACAGTGCAAAGTCTTGGACTGCTTACGGCACAGATCTTCCCTTGGTGGTTTTAATAAGGCCTTTTAGAGAAAAGAGCGGTGTTTGCATTTGCAGCACCACACCAAGAAGCTATTTTTCTCAGCATGACTGCCCATTTTGTTTTGTAAGATATGAAAATAAAAATTTGAGTGGGGGATGTACTTAGTTCTCAACCTGCCTTTAGATTCTTTTTCTCTCTCTTCATACTCCATGAAGGCTATTGAATTTTTCTTTTAAGTTTGTTAAATGACTTATTGAAATGGTATTTAATGTCCTTAACAGGTGCTTTATTTTTTTAAAGCAGTTTTTTGCTGGGGTTTTGGATGGTACAATTATTAAAAAGAAAGAATGGGAGCTTCTTTTGTCCTGCTTATCATCCAAGAGAAACCGTATTGTAAGATACGTGCTGCATTACGTTTTGCAACACTGTATATCTCTGGGATGCACGTGTATGAATGAACCGATTTCAAAATTATGTCGAGACAAGGAATGGCAGAGCAGTCTTTTAATGGAATCTCTTCGAGAGGCATTATGGGTAAATTGTGTTATGCCTATACAGACACTCTAAATAGGTATGATCTTAAAAAATTAACAAAAGAAATTTGATTTTCTTTTCACTCTTGAAAAGAAAATCTTAAGTATTATAAGTTACCCCGGTTTTCTCAGAATTCATTAATTAGTAAATTCATTGAAATCCATTGAGTTTAATATGGTTTATCCAAATAAACCATAACAAACCATATGTATTAAAGTATGTGCCTGTGTGTGTATTGGTTTGAGTACAATCATTTCCTCCAAACTGGTGCTTTTCAAATATTGTGGGGCTGTTATATATGTTGAAGACATTTGGTTGAAGAAGCTAGGCTACAGCATTTGTGCTCCTTTTACTATGATTTATGTAGTAAATATATTTTTGCATAATAGTTCTAGTTGACTCAAACAATATTTTATATAGTTTGCTAGCTCTCATTACCAGTCAATCATAAATTCACTGTCCTGCTTAAAATACAATTAGATATGTGAGGGCTTCAATTGGTGGGAAAGTATGTTATGGTATAGTCGCAAATTTGTATTTGACGCAAAAAGAACCGCTAATTTATTGCTCACTTAATGCTTATTCATATTCTCTGCTAATGTAGGTATTCTGTCCATCTTGTCTCTCATAATGCTCTTCCGTAGCATCAACAGCCCTTCCAAGATTTGCTTTCCAATTTTCATGGTACAGGAAACACCTGTATTTGGTTTCTGTGTTAAGATCTAAGTTGTACAGGCTATGCTTTAGAAAGAATCGAAAGGAGAAGTAATTGGCAGCTTGTGGTCAGAGGGAGTGAACAGGGAGGGCAAATGGGGACAGGATAGTTTTTGAGGGAGGGTGTGTAAATTTGATCAAGAGTGAATAAGAATTGTGACTAATGGAATGACATTATATACTACCTGTGGCTGCACTGGGCATATAACCAGAGCCAGCAAAAGGAGGTCAAGATGTAAGAACTAGTCTCAGGTTGCTGATATAATCTTAACTCCAACTGCAGGTTTACACCTTGACAGAAGAAGCTGAGGTGTTTCTTCCCTTTACATTGGAAAAATGGGAGTAGAACTCCAAGCCTTGCTGCCTCTGTTTGCAAATGGGATAGATTCACTCATTTGAGATTAGAGCACTTGCTGGCATTCTTGTGATATTACTTTAATATGCTTCCTATGAAATTCCATGAACTGCTTAAGAGGCTTATTCTTTGAAATCGTCATTCCTAGTCAAGGTTTGCTAAAGAAAATGCTGACTAAAGTAGAGCTTTGTCAAGAAGTGAAAAGGGGAAGAGCAAACTGACAAAACATCAAGGCAAAACTATTACTGACTGAGGGAATATGAGCTTTGACTCATACAATACTGGCTATCTTTTTTGTTACGTAGTTCCTAAAGAGAAAAAAAATTAAATGTTACTAATAGTTGGTATGAAAGAAGACCAATGAGGGTTACCGGCTGTTGCATAGTAAAGTACAAGTGTCTTGACTATTAGACATAACTTGTGAGTTTGTACTCTGTACAATGAGCTCCCAACTCTGTTCTCTTCAGGATAGTTGCAAATAGCAGGTTATGATAATTTAGTCCAAAGTCCAGAATGTCAACTGCTTTCAGGCAAAATAAAAGTTTTAGGAAAAGAGCATGTTGAGGATGAATCAAATGGAAGCAAAGATCTTTTAGCTGTGATCTTTAGAAATGCTGAAAAAAAAAATAGTGACATGCATAGATTTGATGGTGAAAAATGGCTGCCTGAAGCAAAGATTGCAGTTTTCCCACAACAAAAGATGTCATGAATAGGCAGATTTTCTTGAGGCAATTGGAACAACTAAATAAACAAGGATAATGAAAAGTTATTTTTAGCATATCTTGAGAAACTGCACAATTAAAAAGCCAAAAAGTCTTGGTGGCTTCCAACTGAATATTTTAGTAAAAAGTGACTTTTGCAAAAACACGTGAAAGTAGCCAGCACAATACCAAATTTTAAAAGCAGTCGTCAGACAGAAAATTTCAGGCAGGTATTCTTACTTTCTGTTCTGTGTGGATTTGTAGAAAGAATTTTTAAAAAGGTCTATGGAACAATAAACCTTGCTGAAAGAAAATCACTCTGGATTCTGCAAGGGTAAATCCTTCCCACCAGTCTTCTAGAATGTTTTGTTAATTAGTTAGAAAAAATAGAATAGGGATAAATACTGGTATTAAGTTTTCTCAGTGAACGGAAATTCAAAATAAAGTCTTCAAGAATCCAAAATTACAGGTCCTGGTAATTTTTAAGTTACTGATCATGATACAGGGTAAGCAGGTAGCTAGGCAAGTTTATGGATTATATCAAATTATTCAGGATAGTGAAAACTCAATGGTCAACCAAACAAAAACCCTGCAGTTCATTTCATGTGGGTGTAAAATAATGCACACTGGGACAAATTAACTTTATTATTTGTGGGTCATGATGACTACCTTAATGGTTGTGTTTGGGAGCTACCAAAAGCAAGATTCATGTTAGTGATCATTAAGAAAAGGATTGAAAATAAACTCACCAATAAAGTATGCCTACCATACTGTACATTAGAGTTCTGGAATATTGTACAGTTCTGGTGACAATGTTTGAAAAAACAAAACTACAACTTCAAAAAGCAAAGGAGAACAAATATTTATCAAACATTGACCTTTTGAGACTAAACTAGAACAGAATAAAAAGAGCGGACATGATCAAGATATATAAAACCCTGCAGTCACGAGGGTCATAGGTAAGCCAATGAAACTAGTACCGTAAGAAGGAGAATACTGACGTGTGATGATGGTCACTAATCTGAAAGGCTCTGAAATGGAGAAATTCATGGAGGACAAGATGAGTAAAGGCTATTGGTCCCCAAGTCACTAATTTATTTCTGAATAAATAACACTGTCAGGAGACCAATGAATGAGGGAGATGTCCTCTTCTGTCATCTGGTTGTCAGAATCCCAGAAACATTTGGGCTGATGAGAAATAAAATGTTGGGTTAGTATGGGACTTGACCTTCAAAGTACTTAATATTGTCAGCCTAAAATTGCACTGCCTAAATGTGTGATTTAATAGGACGTGCCATTTTAACATGATGGCATTCAGATCTGGGAACTTACCTGCCCAAGAAAATGTGCAAGGATCTCTAAAGCAAGTTTCTTTCTTTTTTTTGTAAAGCAAGTTTCAATGAATGTTCAGGTGTGGTTGCTTTTTCATTGATAAGCCAAGGTTTAAAATTAAAGAACACATTTTTTATAAATTATGCTGCTGCTTTGTGTATTCTTAGCTGGCCATCCTTAAAAATGAGCTATGCTTTCAATTTTAAATTGTACTTCAGAAAATTATTAGGAGCCACCTGATTAGCAGTGCTAGTCGGTATGTTGCAATACTTAAGATGATGAAGTTGCAGGATTGAAAATAAAGAAAAAGCTACAATAATAGTAAAAAAACCTTACAGATAAACAGAAATGAATTGATAAAGAAAATAGACCTTCAGATAGTAAAGAAACTGAAATATTTAGAAATCCACTTAACAGCAAGATGTGCAACAATTAAAGATGATAACTACACAAAGTTTATGCAACAAATTAAGTTGGAGTTGGAGAAATGGAAGAATTTACAATAGCTACCATAAAAATGAATATATTACCAAATTACCAAATTTTTATTTCAAACAATACCAATAAAACTAGAGAAAAAGTATTTTGAAGAATTAAATAAAACAATTTTGAAATATATTTGTCAAGGGAACAAAGCAAGAATGAAAATGTTACAGGGTCTAAAGGCAATGGGGATTTGGGGCTACTGGATTGGGAGCTATATTATCAGGAATCTCTACTTACATGTGTAAAAGAATGGATAAATTTGAGGTATAAAAGATTACTGTTTTTGGAGGGACACGATCTTCAATTAGGATGGCATGCTTTTTAATTGTATGGAAGGAGTACTGCATACAGATATTTTCAAAATCATGTGAGGAATGCTTTACTTTTAGTATGGGGAAAAATTAAATCGCAAAACTATAGGAAAATACCAGTCTGGCTTTCTACAATGGAAGCATTGATACATCCAAATCTTATTAACTTCAAAAAAATTCTAAATAAGAATGGGGAACTTAAAACTAGACAGGAATTACAAAATCAAAGGGTGGACTTAGCTTGGTGACCACACTTGCAAAAACAATCAAGGCGGAGCCATATTTTAATGCATTTCAGTTAGTCACTCTGTCTCAGCCCAAACTACCTCATAGGATTGCTGTGAGGATAAACAGGCAGTGGGAGCATTATGAACATAATCTTGAAAAAGTGAGAGTTAGATCAACTAAATAAAATCACCTTCAAGGCAACTCAGGGGAGCCTAGATGAAGACTGGTTTCTTAAGATGGAAAAAATGGTAAATATAGCTGCTGAAGGTAGTGCATTTCATACTGTGGAAGGAACACCAAAGAATTCAACCAACTGGAAATAATTGAAACCCTAAACTTAATTCTGATTAAGATATGAATGCAAACATTCCATAAGTTGGCTTCCATAGGTATTCCATAGATGAAAACTGCTTGGATGACTGATCCAACATTTGTCATTTTAGCAATATGACAAACGTTCTCTTTGAATAATCCTGCTTGGAGTGTCCTGCTTCAGGAAAGGACTCATAAGGTGAAGGAAGGAAGGAAGGAAGGAAGGAAGGAAAATATTTTCACAGAAATAATTATCAGGGAGATCAGGCGCCCAATTTTTTCCTTCCAAAATCATTTTCATGTATTGTTAGGGCTA